ATGTAATTATATATGTTAACTAATGTACAAGAGTTAATCTATATTCCAAGTCACAAACAAACATGTTAAGATATTTTGCATGAAACATTGTGTAGTGAACCTCTTGCAAGATTGTTCAAATTATAGCCCTGGGGTCAAAATTGGTTCTGCCCCGGGGGTCATTGATTTTCATTATGTACATATAGTGAAAAAAATAAAAAATATTTTTGTCTGAAGGTACAAGGCATAGAGCTTTGATGTTTGATATATAATATCATTTATAGGTCCTCTACCAAAGTTGTTCAAAATTTTCCCCTGGTGTCAAAATTGGCCCTGCCCGGGGGCAGTGATTCTCATTATGTACACATATTAAAAACAGAAAATAAAACAAATGTTTTCTGAATGGGAGAAAGCTATAGCTTAGATATTTGACTTGAAATGTTGTTTGGTGGACCTGTATCAAAATTGTTTTGAATTTAACCCTTGGGTCAAAATTATGCCTTGCCCAAGGGGACAGTGACCTACTAGGTACAGCAATGACATTTTGACCATGTGCACAGTTTTAGTTGTAAAATTGAACTTTGATATCAGGTGACCTAGATTTTGATGATGTGACCTACTTTCTTGTCCTTTGATGTACAGCTATGAAATTTGAACCATGCGGTGGCATAGCATTTTTCTCAAATGCAATCTTGTTTTCTGTATTGAATACCCCGATTACTCTGTTTTGGATTTTCTATTTTTATTCTTTATTGTTAGGCTTTTGGACCTCAGTGGAGCTCCTTTATGTGAACTCTTCGCTGTTTGTGTTAGAATGAGAAATTTAAACACTAGGCAAGTATAGATGCACCTTGCTGTAAATTTAGATGTACTAGTATATACTGTTACTACATAGACACTATAACATAATTTTTAATCAAAACAAGTTATACACCATAGATATAAACATGATTTTATTGTGTCGCCTTTTAAGGCGACACATAGGGGTTACTTTTGTCGGCGGCGTCCCTGTCATTGTCGGCGTCGTTGTCGGCGTCCCTTAAAGCTTGTCACTGTAAGTCTGATTGACTTCAAACTTGGTATGCATGCTTCTTTCAATAACCTGAAGTGCAGTGCACAAGGACCAGTACTCTGCAGTTCTTAATTTTTGATTTATTGCCCTTTGTTAATTTTCATACTTTATTTTTGTCCGGGCCATTTCTACCAATGTATAAAAGCCATGGACTTAAAACTTCATAGGATGATAGATCTCATTAAGAAGAAGTGCAGTGCACAAGAACCGGTACTCTGCATTTTTTATTTTTTGAGTTATTGCCCTTTGTTAATTTTCATACTTTATTTTTGTCATGGCCATTTCTCCTAAAGTATAAAAGCTATGGACTTGAAACTTCATAGGATGATAGATCTCATTAAGAAGAAGTGCAGTGCACATGAACTGGTACTCTGCATTTCTTATTTTTTGAGTTATTGCCCTTTGTTAATTTTCATACTTAATTTTTTTTCAGGCCATTTCTCCGAAAGTATAAAAGCTATGGACTTGAAACTTCATAGGATGATAGATCTCATTAAGAAGAAGTGCAGTGCACAAGAACTTGGTACCCTGCAGTTCTTTATTCTTTTTGAGTTATTGCCCTTTGTTAATTTTCATACTTTAATTTTGTTCTCTGGTTATTTCTCCTCAAGTATGAAAGCTATGGACATGAAACTTCATAGGATGATAGATCTCATTAAGAAAAAGTGCAGTGTACAAGAACCAGTACTCTGCACTTCTTATTTGTGAGTTATCACCCTTTATTAATTTTCATACTTTATTTTTGTCCAGGCTTTTTTTTCATAAATTATAAAAGATATGGACTTGAAATTCATAGAATGATAATTCTTTATTTTTGATAAGAAGTGCCCAAGTGCCACAGGAAACTGGTTCATTCTGCACTTATTATCCCCCACAACCCCAAAGTTGTAAAGGGGGGTATACTTGGAATAGCTTTGTCCGTCCGCTCCCGTTTTTTTCTTGTCCCGGCCCAATAACTTAAGATTCCTTTGACCCTAGTCTTTATATTTTGGCATTGAAGGTTAAAGTTCCATGAATTAGTAGATCAACCCCCTATGATTTTGAGGTCACTTAGGTCAAAGGGGTCAAGGTCACAGGGGCCTTGACTTTTCAAAAAGCTTGTCCGCCCAATAAACTTAAGATTCCTTTGCACCTTTACAGTTCGTCATTATTTTGCATGGAGGTCAGTCATGGATTTGTAGATGACCCCTATTGAATTTTGAGGTCCACTAGCGTCAAAGGTTTCAAGGCTCACAGGGGGCCTTGACTTCAAAAAGCTTGTACCGCCCAATAACTTAAGATTCCTTTGACCTTACAGTCGTCATATTATTGCCATTGGGAGGTTATTCATGATTAGTAAATGACCCCTTATTGGGATTTTGAGGTCACCAGGTCCATAGGTCAAGGGGTCACCAGGGGCCTTTGGGACTTCAAAAAGCTTGTCCGCCCAATAACTTAAGATTTCCCCTTTGACCCACAGTCTTCATATTTGGGCATGGGAGGTTTTAGTCATGACTTAGTAGATGGACCCCTATTGATTTTGAGGTCCTAGGTCCAAAGGTTTCAAGGGTCACAGGGCCTTTGACTTTCAAAAAGGGGCTTTTGTCCGCCCAATAACTTAAGAGTTTTCCTTTGACCCTACAGGTCGCTTTCATATTTTGCATGGAGGTTTTAGTCCATGATTAGTAGATGGACCCCTATTGATTTTGAAGTCACCAGGTTTCCAAAGGTTTCAAGGTCACAGGGGCCTTGACGTTCAAAAAATCTTGTCCGCCCACATACTTAAGGGATTCCTTTGACCCACAGTCTTTCAATATTTTTTTGCCATGGAGGAGTCATGATTAGTTTAGGATGACCCCTATTTTTTTGAGGTCACCAAGGTCAAAGGTTAAGGGTCACAGGGCCTTGACTTCAAAAAGCTGACCGCCCAATAACTTAAGATTCCTTTGATCCACAGTTTTTCATATTTTGGAATGAAGGTTAGTCATGATTAGTAGATGACCCCTATTGATTTTGAGGTCACCAGGTCAAAGGTCAAGGTCACAGGGGCCTTTGACATTTGTAAATTTAGAGAAGATGATTTTTTAAGTTTTTACTATATACATATAAGGAAAACCTATGGCCACCGGGGGCGGGGCTAATTTTGACACAAGAGGCAAAATTTGAATAAATTTTGTAGAGTACCTTTAGATGATATTATTTAACAAATATTAAAGCTATAAGCCTTGTACCTTCAGACCTTCTTTATTTATTTTTTACTATATGTATATATTGAAATCCATGGCCCCAAGGGCGGGGGCAATTTTGACCCCAGGGCTATAATTTGAACAATCTTGCTAGAGGTCTACCAGACAATGCCTTATGCAAAATATATAAGCTCTAGGCCTTTTGGGTTTTACAGAAGGTGTTTTTAAGTTTTTACTATATGTACATATAGTGAAAATCAATGACCCCGGGGCGGGGCCAATTTTGACCCAGTTGCTTATAATTTGGAACAATCTTTGTTTAGAGGTCTACCCAGACAAATGCCTTATTGCAAAAATATCTAAGCTCTAGGGGCCTTTGGGGCTTTACAGAAGATTTTTTTTAAATTTAATTCTTATAATTCCTATTGGTTACCATGGCAACCAGATTTCTGCATGAATGAAATTCTTTGAACAACTTTGGAAGCCCTTCACGCCAAGGAACAATCCTGCCAAAGTTTGGTTGAAATTGGACTAGTGGTTTTTCACAAAGAAGATTTTTTTTAAGTTCACTATATAATCTATATAACACCACACAAAAACACACACACCAACACACACACAAACACACGCACACACACACAGGTGAATCGCTATATGCCACCGCATCGCAGATGCTGCGGTGGCATAAAAAATAGAACTGCCACTGTCATGGCCTGAATACCCCCGCATACCACTTTGTCAGAATCAACAGTGGCCATTTAGAGCTCAAGGACAACCTCCCTGCCAAATCTGACGTTACTAAGCCAATGCATTGCTAAGTTATGTATTCTACATGCTTCAAATGTGAAAATGTCAAAATCAATACACAGCGGACAGGCATTTCTAAGCAATTGATGGTAAAAGCTTTTTTTTAGTCAAGGTCCCTGTGACCTTGACCTTTGACCAGTGACCTAAATATCAACAGGGGTCACCTTATGGGTCATGATCAACCTCCATACCTAATATGAAGACTGTGGGTCAAAGGAATCTTAAGATAATGGGCGGACAAACTTTTTTTTTTGAAGTCAAAGTCGCTGTGACCTTGACGTTTGACCCAGTGACCTTAAAAAATCACTAGGGATCACCTACTCATCACCTACTAACCTCCATGCCAAATATGAGGACTGTGGGTCAAAGGAATCTTAAGTTATTGGGCGGAGAAGCTTTTTTAGTCAAGGCCCCTGTGACCTTGACCTATGACCTAGTGTCCTCAAAATCAACAAGGATGCCATAGTCACAAAATACGCCCGTTTACGAAAGCTTTAGATGGAGATGGGGGCATTATTGATAAGTGTTATCTAGCAAGCAAGTTTTTATTCTTGGCACTGTGTTGTTAAATGAACCTTAAAACAAATCAGTAGGGGAAGATATAGGCACAGGATGTGTGACCTTGACCTTGGTCGCAGGGACCTGAATTTTATGCACGGCACTCAGCCTCCACAATGATGAACATTTGTGCCAAATTATATTGAAATCCCTCTATGCATGTAGAAGTTTTATTCCAGACAAGCGTTTTTCTATGAGCTCTAACTGTGACCTTCACCTTTGACCTAGAGACTGGTTCATGTGCAGGGCACTACGTCTCATGGTGGTGAACAATTCTATAAAGTAACATTAAAATTCCTCCATGCATGTAGAAAATATGCTCCGGAAACAACATCTTGATATTTAATCATCTCAGTGACCTGTTTGACCTTGCAAATATTAACCTAAATTAAATGTGTCACACCTGTAGTCATGATAGTTACCATTTGTGCTACAATCCATCAATAAATGATGACTAAATGGTCCATATACACATCTTTCAAATTTTTATTTGAACTTTGACCTCTATGTGTAACCTTGACTTTGGTCGCAGGGATCTGAATTTTGCGTGCGACACTCAGCCTCACAATGGTAAACATTTTGTGCCAAGTTATATTGAAATCCCCCTATGAATGGAGAAGTTTTGCTCCGGACAAGCGTTTTTCAATGAGCTCTAAGTGTGACCTTGACCTTTGACCTGGAGACCTGGATCATGCATGGAGCAATACATATCATGGTGGTGAACATTTCCATAAAGTATTATAAAAGTTCTTCCATACATGTAGGAGATATGCTCCAGACAAAATCTGGATATTTCATCATCTTTTGTGACCTTGACCTTGTATATATTGACCTAAATTATATGTATCACAGCCATAGTCTTGATAATGACCATTTGTGTTACAATCCCTCAATAAATGATGACTAAATGGTCCATATACACATCTTCATATTTTTATCTGAACTTTGACCTCTATGTGTGACCTTGACCTTGGCCGCAAGGACCTGAATCTTGCGCGCGACACTCCGCCTCACAATGGTGAACATTTGTGCCAAGTAATATTGAAATCCCTCTATACATGTGAAGTTTTGCTCCCCAAAAAGCATTTTTCAATGAGCTCTAAGTGTGACCTTGACCTTTGACCTAGAGACCTGGTTCATGTGCGCGACACTGCTCCTCATAGTGGTGAACATTTCTATGAAGTTTCATTAAAATCCCTCCATATATGTAGGAGATATGCTCCGGACAAAATTGGACGCCGCCCGCCGCCCGCCCATAATACGTCCCGTTTTTCAAACGGGCGTATAAAAAGGGTCATCTACTAATCATGACTAACCTCCATGCCAAATATGAAGACTGTGGGTCAAAGGTTTCTTAAGTTATTATGGGGATAACTTTGTTGTGCGGGGGTATAAAAATAAAATGATGTTAAAGAAATATACTCGGAATAAAATTGAAAGTGTAATTTTCAGACGGACTTCAGCTAATGGATATTGCATAATTTTCTAACTTCAAAAAGTGTAATGATTCTGTCAAAATCTATGTTATAGTTCATGGTCCTCGGACAGTGACTTCCTATTACTCTCATATATTACTCTCAAAAATCAAGTAGATATAATTCTGAATATGTCAAAAATCCTCAGTGGAGTCCCTTTAACTATACACATTTATCGTTTTGCATAATTATAATTTTCAACTTTTTTTCAATTTTTACAATATAACTAGAACTCCGCGAGTCGGATGTGTGACCTTGTGAACAATATAGTTTAGGAGAAATGGCTAGGACAAGAAAATTGACAAAGGGCAATAACTCAAAAAATAAGAAGTGCAGAGCAGCAGTTTCTTTGCACTGCATTTCAGATCAATAAGATATACCATTCTATGAAGTTTCAAGTCCATAGCTTTTATAATTTATGAGAAATGGCCTAAACAAAAATAAAGTATGAAAATTAATAAAGGTAGTAACTCAAAAATAAGAAATGCAGAGTACCGGTTCTTGTACACTGCACTTTTTCTTAATGAGATCTATCATCCTATGAAGGTAATTTCATGTCTATAGCTTTAATACTTTAGGAGAAATGACCTGGACAAAAATAAAGTATGAAAATTAACAAAGGGCAATAACTCAAAAAATAAGAAATGCAGAGTCGGTTCTTGTGCACTGCACTTCTTCTTAATAAGATCCATCATCCTATGAAGTTTCAAGTCCATAGCTTTTATACTTTAGGAGAAATGGCCATGACAAAAATAAAGTATGAAAATTAACAAAGGGCAATAACTCAAAAATTAGGAAATGCAGAGTACCGGTTCTTGTGCACTGCACTTTTTCTTAATGAGATCTATCATCCTATGAAGTTTCAAGTCAATAGCTTTTATAGTTGAAGAGAAATGGCCCGGACAAAATTAAAGTATGAAAATTAACAAAGGGCAATAACTCAAAAATTAAGAAGTGCAGAGTACTGGTTCTTGTGCACTGCACTTTGGGTTATTAAAAGAAGCATGCATACCAAGTTTGAAGTCAATCAGACTTAAAGTGACTGAGTTGTGCTCCGGACAAGCTTTAAGGGACGCCGATGACAAAAGTAACCCCAATATGTCGCCTTTTCAAGGCAACACAAAAACAATCAAAGAAGGAATCACTAAAATATAACATGTAAATGGTCCTCATCTCAATGAAACAATTATGAATACCATTTACTTGTCCTATATATCATATAACTGGTATTTGTATATACCATTCCCTTGTTCTATATATCATATAACTGGTATTTATATATACCATTCCCTTGTCCTATATATCATATAACTGGTATTTGTATATATATATACCATTCCGTTGTCCTATATATCATATAACTGGTATTTGTATATACCATTTCCTTGTCCTATATATCATATAACTGGTATTTATATATACCATTTCCTTGTCCTATATATCATATAACTTGTATTGATATATACCATTCTTATGACATATTTATCATATAACCGGTATTTACATATACCATTCCCTTATCATATCATATATTACATCATATAATGGTATTTGAATGTTATATTAAGCTTTCACTTCTTCTTCATGTTCTTACCTTGTACATTTAACATCTGTGGTTTGATATTTCCATTAAATTTACTTATTCATTAATTTATTGACTTGTTTATTTACATATCTATTTATGTATTTATAATTTGAACATAACTTTTTTCAAATCAGTTTTTTTAACTATCCCTGATCTTTAAAAAAGAACCTTTACCTTAATTAAGATCAATATATCTATTCTATTTTGCTGCATTTTTTTCATTTATTTATTTATAAACACAATTTGAATACTACTTTCTCCAATTTCAATATTATAAAATATAATAATGCATTTTGTTACATTGACCAGATATCAATATTTAATTTAACTGTTTTTGATGATTGTTATCATAATGTATTATATTCATCCTCTTGCTTCACAACAATATGTGAATTACTTGTCATAAGTATCACTGTTTTATTGTGTCTTCTAACATGAAATAATTTTGTCTAAACTATGTTAACTGCAAGTATCCTATATCAATATGTTAAAAATTCCAAACATTATCTTTTTTTTGAAAATGAAAAAAAAAACACATTTAGTTAAAATACTATGTAATTACATGGACACTTTATCCCTTTTTTTTTTGAAAATTTAAAGGCATGTATCATCTAACTGTTTTAATTTCAAATCATTTTTTTTTGTAGTGAAAATGAAAAAAATAATATCCAAATTTATGTCTTTGAATATGCAATAATTTACTTTAACAACAATATCAACTACATGTATCCTATATCACTTTTTTTGTTGTTGAAAAGCCAAACCAATCTTCACCACCACGTTTAACATGAATTAACTGTTCTCTATCTTTTACATACTGTATAGCATCATTTCCCTTCACTCCTCCTAGTCCTTGTGATGTCCATGTTAACCTATCATTAATCTCCTCACCACCAACTGTTATATAACAGTTCACTACACTCACATCTACAATATGAGGAATACCAGGAAGACTATCAACAAACTTCTGCCATGTTGTCAAACTCATTTTGACACCAAAAAGCTTAATGTTCTTTAAACTCTTCATCTCTAAAGGTAACTGTATTATATTGTCAGTTAACCTACAATACCATAACTCAAGCTCACTGAGATTGTGTAACAATGGCAATACTGTGACTAGTCTCTTTGTTATGTTGGTATGATATAATTGAGATATATTGTCATAATCTCCATATAATTGAAGTTCTTTTAATTTGTAAGATTTTATAATAATATCAAATATTTTCTCATAATTACTATTTTTCAAATTTCCAAATTTAAATATTTCAAGGTTTGTAGTATCAGCATCTATCACACTAACAGCATATCTCAAATAAAGGTACTGAAGTTGTTGATGTTGTGATAAATTTACATCATGCTGGTTCTCACACTCACATTCAATATTAACAAGATATATTTGTTCAAGATGATTGGTTCTCTCAAGAAAATTACAAAATGTAGTAGTATCATCATGACTCATTGTTATACCACTTATTTTTATTGCTACAAGATTGATCATACTAGGTAGGTTACTAACAACTGTTTTATACACAGGGTAATACTGCTTGTCAGTGTGATCGGTTTCACCAAGAGACAGAGATTTTAATGTTGAAGTGTTTACTTTAATTGTCTCAGAAACACAATTGTTCATCTCATCAATCATCTGTTCATTACTCTGTGTACTATCACTTTGTGTACTAAATAACCTTTGAGGTTCATCTCCATATGTTATTTTAATTTTTTCAAGATGATGAAACATTGGTAAATATTTTGTCAATTTAGCATTATTTGTGTTGATGTTAGCTACCTCAATAGACAGAACAGAGTCAGGAACAATTTGATGCTGATCAATACCTGAACAAACAATATCACAATACCGATTAAATATATCAAAGACCAAATCTCCTATATAAAATACAGGACAGCTTCCAGGAGTATCTGATGAATTGCATTCTTCAATTAACTCAAAAATAAGCCTTTGAATATCAGTAATACATGTAGTATCAGATTCAGAACCCATAACATACAATTCTACACTGTCTTCTCTTTGTCTATCTGTTGTTTTCCTGAATTTCTGAACATAAGAGTCTTCTGACACAGTATCAAATACGTGTTTTGAGACATGTGGGGCTAATCTAGGTTCAAGACCACATAGCATAATCATGACATTTGATTGCTCTAATATGTCATTTATTGTTGAACATTTCTGAAAAACCTCATTGATAATCTTTTTGGCTAATTCAGCATTTCCTGTACTATCTAATGAACCAATTTTTGCAAGGAAATTGATACCAATATTCACTGCAGCCAGAAATTCTTGCATTGATTTGTGAATAAAAGAGAACAATGAGCTTGGTGGTTCTGATACAAATAAACTCGGACATTCATCTTCTGTAATTATTCCAAGTTTCAAGCAATTTTCTCTTACTTCATCTGATATTTCTAGTTCATCAAACATAAACATGTCAAATGTCAAGGATTTGTTCTTTGGACAATTAAATAGTGTCTCATAAGCCAACCGTGATACTTCATAAATGAAATGGCTGTTTAATCTTAATTTGATTTTATCGGCTAAATATTGAGGGAGGTTTACTCTCTGAGTACCCTTCATGAGTGGAGTACTTGTTCCTGTAGTTTTCATGTCATTCCATGTAAAGAACAGTTCTAACATGCCGGTGTAGATGGCACATCTTGAGGTTTTATCGAGTTTACCATCAAACCATAGACATATCAGTTGTTGGAGCATAATTGGTATCTGTTTTAAACTTTTCAGAGAGTCTTCCTTCAGCTTTTCCACACAGTCTCTGGCTTGTTTATTAGCATGTCTATTTATATTTAATTGTGAGACTGTCCTATTTACCATTTCCCTTTCACATCTAAAATCAAACCCTTTCAGTTTCAGCGACTGTTCAATCTCCACATCATTTGATCTTAATGTATGAAATTTCCATGGGCGTGAAGTCGTGACTATTGTGTATTCCTTAAAAATGCTATGTTCTGGGACATTTTTTAGGAACCAAATTTATCTAAAAACCATCCCCCCAAAATCATAAATCTAGAGGTTTTCCCCTTCAAAGTGTGTTTTTAAAATTTTTCCCTTTTAAAACGTTTTGGGAAAAAATTTTTATCAATAGGTCAAAAGTTTTGGGTACTTGGGCTAAGAGGGGTTTTTAAAAACAAAATAAAAATTTTTTCATCTCTTTTTTACCATTTAATTTCAGTTCATAATTTTTCTATCAATTTTAGATCATAAATAAACAAAATTTAAAATCTGTTTTTAAAAATACCAAAAAGAATTTTTTCCCCTTTTTTTGGATTTTTCCGGTACAAACCCTTTTACTGTTATCCTGAAGTCAATTTTAAAGGGCAATTATTAAAGTCCTTTCCCCCCACATTTTTTTTTCATTTTTTTCGTTTTCCCCTTTTAAAACCTTCCCGTTCCTTTTTCCCCTTTTTGGGTTTTCAAAAATTTTTCCACCCATTTTTGTCCCCTTTACCTCTTCATTTACAATGTCACTTCCCTTTTTTTCATGTTCTTCATTATCACCTCCTGGTTCCTCACTGTCGCCTTCATTTTCATTGACAGCTCCTTGTGTTTCATGTTCTTCATAATCACATCCATGTTCCTCACTGCCGCTTGCATTTTCATTGACACCTACATGATTTTCATGTTCTTCATTATCACGTCCATGTTTTTCTCTGTCACCTTCAATTTCGTTGACACCTCCATGTTTTTCATCGTCACCTTCATGTTTCATACTGCAATTTTCAGTTTTAACACTGACATCTTCGTTTTCATTGCCAGCTCCATGTGTCCCACCGTCACCTCCATGTTTTTCACTGTCTCCTTCAGGTTTACCACTTACATCTTCATTGTCATTGCCAGCGCCATGTTTATCACTGTCACCTCCATGTTTTTCACTATCGCCTTTAGGTTTAATACTGCAATCTTCATTTTTGTTGTCAGCTTCATGTTTTTCACCATCACCTCCATGTTTTTCACGGTCGCCTTCAGGTTTACCACTGCCATCTTCATTTTCATTGTCAGCTTCATGTTTTTCACCATCACCTTCATGTTTTTCACTGTCGACTTCAGGTTTACCACTGCCATCTTCATTGTCATTGCCAGCTCCATGTTTATCACCGTCACCTCCATGTTTTTCACTGTCGACTTCAGGTTTACCACTGCCATCTTCGTTTTCATTGTCAACTTCATGTTCCTCACTGTGTGCCAAACACCAACAGTTGACCAGATATTTACAAAAACTAGTTTTTCCTGACCCTGCATCTCCAAGAACATATATAGATTTTTGGGGGACTCCGTTCATTGTGAGTATCTCTGACATATTTTTAACCTCCACCTCCTCTGTCTCCCCCTTTTCTCGATTTATTTCCCTCGTTATTTTAGGTCTAATATAAATTTCATTAAAGCTACACTTTTTACTTTTTGGTTGTAAAGGTGTTGTAGGAACTTGCAGCAGGGTTTTGTGGTACTGTTCAATAAGCTTTTTCCGCCATTCTGAAATTTAAAAGATAATATAAAATCCAATTGTAATGGACAAATCAATTAGTGAATGATACGGAAAATAAGTACAGACCTGCATGGACATATTATCACAGGCCCAAAACATTTATTGTGGAAAAAAAGACAACAGTTTATTTAATGTTTATTCACACCAACAAAGTTCAATTTATGAACAAAATCACTGAAAATCAGTCAGCCAGTTCTCATATAAAATTCTCTTTTTCTGTTTTTTATATACTCGCTATAACTAATCATTCTACAGCTTTCTATTCTGTTTTAAACATCAACATCAGATTAATAGTTCCATTCGCTGAACGCATCCCCCGAATAAACAAGATGGCCCTGAGGTCGCTCACCTGTATATAGGCCCCCGGAGCGGGGCCAGTTTAAACCCTAGGGCCTTTATTTGAACAAACTTAGAAGATACCCATTAGAAGATGCTTCATGGTGTTAAGTTTTTACTACACACATGTCATGTAAAAAAAAAGACACCACCCCCCCCCCCCCCCCGAGGGCCAATTTTAACCCAAGGGCTTTCTTTTATTTGAACAAACTTGGTAGACACCCATAAGAAGATGTTTCATGCTAAACATTTAAGCTCTAGCTCATTGGGTTTTTTAAAAGAAGATTTTTAAGTGTTTACTATACATATATAGTTAAAAACAGTGACCCCCCCCTGCGGGATCAGTTTTGACCCCAGAGCTTTTATTTGAACAAACTTTGTAGACACTCACTAGAAGAAGTTTCATGCTTAATATCTAAACTCTAGCTATTTGGGTTTTTTCAAAGAAGATTTTTAAGTTTTTCCTATACACATATAAAGAAAATCAATGACCCCCGGGGTGGGGCCAATTTTGACCCCAGGGCTTTTATTTGAACAAACTTTGTAGACACTCACTAGAAGATGTTTCATGCTTAATATCTAAACTCTAGCTATTTGGGTTTTTTCAAAGAAGGATTTTTAAGTTTTTGCTATACACATATAAGGAAAATCAATGACCCCCAGGGCGGGGCCAATTTTGACCCCAGGGCTTTTATTTGAACAAACTTGGTAGACACCCATAAGAACATGTTTCATGCTAAATATCTTTGCTCTAGCCCTTTGAGTTCTTTAAAAGAAGATTTTTAAAGTTTTTACTATATGCATTTAGGGAAAATCAATGACCCCCTGGGGCAGGGCCAATTTTGACCCCAGGGCTTTTATTTGAACAAACTTGGTAGACAACCATAAGAACATGTTTCATGCTAAATATCTTTGCTCTAGCTCTTTGGGTTCTTTAAAAGAAAATTTTTTTAAGGTTTTACTATATGCATATAGGGAAAAGGCGCGGCCAATTTTGACCCCAGGGCTTTTATTTTAACAAACTTGGTAGACACTCACTAGAAGATGTTTCATGCCTTATATCTAAGCTCTTGCTCTTTTGGGTTTTTTAAAAGAGATATTTAAAGTTTTTTCATTCGGTTGCCATGGCAACCAGAGTTCTGCATGGAATAAAATTCTTTGAACAATTTTTAAAGGTGACCACCAAAGGAACATTCCTGTGAAGTTTGGATGAAATTGGCTTAGTGGTTTATGAGGAGATGTCATTTAAAGTAAAAGTTTCCGGACAGACGGACGGACAACGGACGGATGCAGGACGAAAAGCAATCACAAAAGCTCACCCTGTCACTGTGTGACAGGTGAGCTAAAAACAACCACGTTTCGTTTCAGACGTTAACTGAACTGATTCACAAATCTAAATACTAGAACTATCACTAAATGTGATTAATACCCCCGCAAGACTGCTTCAGAAATGAGTAAGTTACTAGTAATAGAATACCTTGCAAAAGAACTGAAATAGAGTTATGGTTGTGGGCATTTTAAGATACTTGTGGTTCTTGTATGTTGCATTTCCTTTCAATGTGGTTGACCATTGATGAAGTTTTATTGAATTACTTTGTAAAAAGTCCAAAAAGAGTAACGCTTCTTGAGCACTGCATTTCCTCTCATTGCACTTGACCATTGAATGAAGTTTCATTAAATTCTAAACATTAGTTTTTATGTTATGCACCTGAAAAGGAAAAGTATCAAAGGGCGTTATTTGTCAAATGGTGTTATTGTTCTTGTGCACTGCACTTCCTCTTAATGTGCTTGATGATTGTATGAAGTTGTTTTGAATTCCAACAAGTAGTTTTCAAGTTATGCTCCCGACAAGTAAAAGTAACAAAGGGCAATTACTTTGTAATTAGTCAAGATGAAGTGATGGTTCTTGTGCACTGCACTTCCTCTTTTTGTGCTTGACCATTGTATGAAGATGTTTTGAATTCCAACCAGTAAGTTTTCAAGTTATGCTCCGGACAAAAGAAAGCAATGGAATAGTTACAAAGGGCAATAACTCTGTAATTACTTTAGATAGAGTTATGGTTCTCATGCACTGCACTTCCTCTTATTGTGCTTGACCATTGTATGAAGTTGTTTTGAATTCCAACCAGTAGTTTTCAAGTTATGCTCGGGACAAGGAAATGTAACAAAGAGCAGTAACTCTGTAATTAGTGAAGATGGAGTTATGGTTCTTGTGCACTGCACTTCCTCTCAAAGTGCTTGAACATTGTATTAAATTATATTGAATTCCAACCATAAGTCTTCAAGTTATGGTCCGGACAAAAGAAAGCAATGGAAAAGTAACAAAGGGCAATAACTCTGTAATTACTTTAGACAGAGTTATGGTTCTTGTGCACTGCACTTCCCCTTATTGTGCTTGACCATTGTATGAAGTTGTTTTGAATTCCAACCAGTAGTTTTCAAGTTATGGTCCGGACAAGGAAAAGTAACAAAGGGCAATAACTCTGTAATTAGTCAAGATGGAGTTATGGTTATTGTGCACTGCACTTCCTCTCAATGTGCTTGACCATTGTATGGAGTTATATTGGATTCCAACCATAAGTCTTCAAGTTATGGTCCGGACAAAAGAAAGCAATGGAAAAGTAACAAAGGGCAATAACTCTGTAATTACTTTAGTTAAAGTTATGGTTCTTGTGCACTGCACTTCCCCTTATTGTGCTTGACCATTGTATGAAGTTGTTTTGAATTCCAACTAGTAGTTTTCAAGTTATGCTCCGGACAAGGAAAAGTAACAAAGGGCAATAACTCTGTAATTAGTGAAGATGGAGTTATGGTTCTTGTGCACTGCACTTCCTCTCAATGTGCTTGACCATTGTATGAAGTTATATTGAATTCCAACCATTAGTCTTCAAGTTATGCTTCGGACAAGGAAAATGCAACGGATGGCTAGACCGACCAAGTGACCGACCACAGAGTGACTCCTATATCCCCCCCCAAACTTCGTTTCGGGGGTATTATAAATGTATTTAATGAAAATTTACGATAACTTGTTCTTTTATCAGTAACTTTTTACTATTATACTCGAGCATGAGCATTGTCTGAATATTTATGCTAACCAATAAATAGACAATGAATATAAATAATGCATAATTCAATGCTGTATTATGCAAATAGACTGATGACATATTACACAATGATTTCTGAAGAATTGAAACCGAAACTCATTTAGTATGAAAACACATTTCAATTTCCAACCACCTTCAGGATTACAATCAACTTTGAATTTTTGCAGGCCTGAATGGGTTTTTACTCATCTCTGGCATACCGTAGATACGCGGCCATAGTTCGACCTCATCCATAAGTCGAGGGGTACATTATGACTTTAAAAAGTTGGTATTTTGCCTTGACTCTTCCATAAGTCGGGGGTAATTTTCAAGTTGATGTAAAGGGCATTTTTATGAAGGAAAATTTATCATTATGCAGGACTGTTTCAAAGTATACAGTCGAGACTGTCTTGGCAACTCCCTGTCATGTGACAAGCGACCCTAATTGTCTGGTCCCAATGTATTGCTTAGTCTGATTGAAACGACTTTCACACCTTTTAATTGTCCATGTATCAGATAAATAATACCTGTTTAAACACCCAGAGGGACAAAATAATTAAGTCCAATTATTATCCAGTAATCAGTACTCTTTAAAAAAAACTCCACACACACTGCCTCAATTACAGTTAACATATATACTGGTAACAAGTGACGTAGCGTCTGGAGAAGAAAGCCAAATATGGTAGGCATGATGCAATCAATGTGTTATCAAATTGAGGTGTAATATACATAAATGACCTGAGCAAACTGGATTAAGATTTGTGTAAGATTATTTTTAATGTTTATATAGTGCGAATGGAAGATCTTTTAAGGCAACATTAATTATAGGAAATGTGAATAAATTATTATAAACACGCCTTCATCCAATTAAAAAAGTGTATGCAAAAGAGCTAACCAAACACGATTGGCTATGGGTGTGTCTGACAATTGAGTAAATTAATTTGATTGGTCTTTAATTGGTCTGCTCTAAAACTTTGTGCATATCATTAATCAATACAAACATCTTGAGCGTGATGTAAGAATAGCTGCCCTGACAACAAAGATCAAAGTTACCGGTATGTCTATGTACAGTGTATAAGCACCTGTTGACACTTTTTTTTGGATATATTGAGAAGGGTAAATGTGTTCTGCTATTGCTATTAAAATATGATTTTCCATTATATTTTCCTTTATATCGACCGCTGATTTAAAAACTGAAAATTATTATAAATTATTATCGAGCATCCCTGGCAATATTAAAATAAGATTCATTTTAAAACATTATGTCTATGATTCTTTACCAATCGGTACTGAAAAATGAGCCTGCAAATCTCAAAAAAGACCCTAATAAGATCAATATTTTTTAGTTACTCGACCATAAGTCGAGTTGATTTATGGTCGAGTTGATTTTTATGGACAATTTTGACAACCGTTTTTGGTTGACTTATGGCTGCAAATCTACAATAAGCCGTGTGCCTTATTTTGCAGTCTGCAATAAATAGCAAAACAGTTTTAGCCTTTTCATTTTCTATAAAACATACCTGATTAAGCCTTTTCATATTTATTGACATACCTGATTTAACCTTTTCATATTCTATTTTACATACCCGATTTAGCCTTTTCATATTCTATAAAACATACCTGATTTTGCCTTTTCATATTCTATATAACATACCTGATTTCGCCTTTTCGTATTATATATAACAACCTGATTTCATCTTTTCATATTATATATTACATACCTGATTTAGCCTTTTCATATTTTATATAACATACCTGACTTAGCCATTTCATATATTATATAATATACCTGATTTAGCCTTTTCATATACTATATAACATACCTGATTTAGCCTTTTTCATATTCTATATAACATACCTGATTTCGCATTTTCATATTCTATATAACATACCTGATTTCACCTTTTCATATGCTAACTGTTTTTGTTGAGGAGAATCTTCCACCTTGAATCTTTTTATCTCCTACAACATCAATAATAATACAAATAATTGTTTTATTCAGTAATATTCAAAAATGTACATTGTATAAAATTATAAACCTAATAAATTTAACTAAATTAAATTCACAATCTGCATTTGTACCATTTGACAGTCCAATATATTCCCATATTGGATTCTAATAATATATCATTTTCATATTGGACAGTTAGGTACATGTGCACTAAACGATTGTGAAAACATTTTGATCTAATTTCATTTGCGTTATATATATATAAAAATAGCATTAAGACGCACTAAATGTCAGCGTTATACTATTGTCAATGATATTTTTCGGATTTACTGTTATATAATATCATGATATTTATCAAACAGATATTAATGATAAATGTAACTTCTTACAGTGTTTAATTTGTTTAGATTCTGTTACTCAGGTTGGGGACCACCAAAACCGGACAACCACCAAGCCCGGACAGCCCCGAAAATGCTTAATTTAGTTTTTTTTTGTTCAGTAGTTAGTCACTTTTTATCAACAATAAATGCATGTTTCTTCTATAATAAATTCATTTCAACTTCCATAAACGGTAATGCAGTCAACTATGGTTATCTCGACATCGCTTTTCTCGATATTTCGTTATCTCGATGAAATTATGAAAGTCCCGATTTTCTTCCTTCTTTATCTATATTGGAAATATTTGTTTATCTCGATATTTTTATTTCGATATTTTCAGTATCTCGATGAAAAATTTCAGCCCAACAGTTATTTTCACACTATTATCCTTTGTTTATCTCGACTAATAGCAGTGATTTTTTTACCTCTGCATCCTGAGTCCAGAACTCATTGAATTTGCTGTGGATGCAAAGTTTCAAATAATGTGCATCTTTTGGATGCATACTTTTTCTGAGTAGGGAGTCCTGTCTGACAGGAATTTGGTAATAAATACCAAATTGTGTTCAAGTTATGTCACACATATTCTAGGTCTGCAAATCTTCTACAGATAAGAAATGATAATGTGCTATACTATAGATAAGCAAAACAATATTAAGGAAAATGAAGTTTTGCTTAATCTCAAACTAAATTCATGGAAATAGACTTATAAAATTTATTTGACAGTTTTGAATAATTTCAGTATCAGAAGCATTGTAATTAATGTGGAAATCAAATTCATTTTTTCTTCATTCCATTAATATACCTTTCATATCACTAAAACAATATTAAGCCTTGTAACTTGGATTTGTTGGCTAAATTTTGGGACTCATAGATTTATAGCCCAGTGAGTCCTAGGACCCACACTGATGAGTTTGTAAAAAAATCACTGCTAATAGTTTCCCTTCAGACGTGTGAAAAACGTAAACTAGATGATAATTGCTCAATAGCGCGTGTCATAATAATGATTATGTTTGTAACAAGTTAAGCTGTTTTTATAAAAGTTGATCTTTTTAGCGTGTTGATTGACTTATGTCCAAAATGAGTGAATTTTACGTTCTTTATAAATATTCAAACACTGTATCAATTCATTATGACTTTAAATGTAAATGAAATAGTGAAAGTATAGAAACTCTATCGTTGCAACATTGTTCACAACATCACCACCAATCAATCAGCGATCAAACAATCTCAAGACCCGATAAATAACCCGGGAGGACATCCGGACCAACCACCCTGAAAACAAAGTTTTCACTTTATTGGTGTACGACCGTGTAAACCTCGCTATGTGTTTTTATCTCAAACACCCGTATATCCGCTGGTAAACATCCGATAATATTACTTTGTTAAATTTGACTAGGCCTATGGAAACAAGACATGGGGATATCATAGTTATTTGACATAAGGTATGCACATGTCTTTTGTAAAAATCAGTTTCTGCCTTATTCAAACCCTAATTATATTTATCTCGACATTTCGTTATCTCAATATTTTTTGGACGGTCCCGATGACTAAGAGATTACGAGAGTTGACTGTACTTTAATGTCTATTTCAACAATGTTGATGTTGAAAATTTGGGCATCAAGAGTGCAATACCTGACCTCATTAACAGCTTTAATCATTTGCAGAGTAAACAATAGAATATCCAAAACTTCAGCATTTGGTGCTGAAATATTTTTTATCATGTTGAAAATAAAAAAATTAAACACCCAAGCTTTTATCTTAATTAAATCACGTCATCTACATATCTGCCGGACACAATTTTTTTTTTTGGTACTGCAGTTTCGACAATTTAGGTAATTTTGATATTCTCCTTGTGGAGCCTCAGAAATAAGTGTCAATACATCTAGTTTGTTAGTTAGTAGAATAACCTAGCTGAACTGTGTCAAATTTTTAGGTCTCTAGGTTTAAAATTATGAAATCTGTACGGAAAAATGTTCAAAAAGTGTCCGGTTGATAGTCCCTCACTTGAACTCACAGAAAATGATAAATAAATAAAATTAATGATGTCTTAAAAGTATTTGTTGTATCAGAAAACTCTTACAACTTCTGTATGTAAACAACCATTGATGAATTATTGCCTTCTCTTTTAATTTTTTTTTAGGGGTCACAGGGTTATTATTGGTGATGGAGGTAGTGGTGGTGGTTTAAGTGGTTACATTGGTGGTATTGATGATAGCGGTAGTGGTTTTGTTGCTGATAATGGTGGTGGTGTGGCTGATGATATTGGTGGTTGTGGTGGTTTTGTTGGGGTTGATTGTGATGATTATATTGCAAATTAAATGAAAGATATAATTATAATAAACAAGAGGGCCATGCTGGCCCTGAAGTCGCTCACCTGTACATAGTCCCCCAGAGCGGGGCCAGTTTAAACCCCAGGGCTTTTATTTGAACAAACTTGGAAGACACCCATTAGAAGATGTTTCATGATGTTAAGTCTTTACTACACACATATAATGAAAATAAATGACCTCCCCCAAACCCCCGGCAGGGCCAATTTTAACCCAAGGGCTTTATTTGAACAAACTTTGTAGAAACCCAAAAGAAGATGTTTCATGCTAAACATCTAAGCTCTAGCTCATTAGGTTTTTTAAAAGAGAATTTTTAAGTTTTTACTATACACATATGGTTAAAAACAATGACACCCCTGGGGCGGGGCCAGTTTTGACCCCAGGGCTTTTATTTGAACAAACTTTGTAGACACTGACTAGAAGATGTATCATGTTTAATATCTAAACTCTAGCTATTTGGTTTTTTTCAACTTTAGAAGATTTTTAATATAGTAGCTAACATTTAACCTTTAAGTGGGATCTTCATTATGAGCAAGAAACTCTTACATTTAACCGTTAAGTGTGACCTTCAGCATAAACTAGCATAGCTTCCATTTAACCTTTAAGTGTGATCTTCACTTTGAACAAGCATAGTAATCATTTGAGCCGCGTTATGACAAAACCAACGTAGTGCGTTTGACACCAGCATGGATCCGGAACAGCCTGCGCATCTGCGCTGTGAGTCTGATCAGGATCCATGCTGTTCGCTATCAGTATCTCTACTTGTAATAGGGTTGGTAAGCGAACAGCATGGATCCTGATCAGACTTTGCAGATGCGCAGGCTGGTCTGGATCCATGCTGGTTGCAAACCCATTATGTTGGTTTTATCGTGACGCGGCTCATTTAAAGCAGCACACCTCCAGATTCATGCTCTTTTCATGAAAATTTTGAAAATGTATTAAATTTTGAATGTATAATAATTTTTATTGTGAAATAACCAAAAGGAAGCCATTAACACATTATCAATGGCACTTACAAGCCATGTAAATTACCAAAATGTGGTCAAAATATGCATAAATAGCCCTTACTGCATTAGTAACACAGTACAAATATAGTTGTAAATACTAAACAAGAGCTGTCGGTAGGACAGCAACGCTCGACTATTCTTCGTGCTTGATAGTAAAAAAATGCCTGATACAGTTACCTCCTCCTGTTTACAGGTTGGGGTCATGATGGTGAACAAGTGTGCAAAGTTTCAAAGCCATATATCAATGGACTTTGAAAATATTTGAACTATTACAAAAACTTTAATGTAAATTCTAAGTCGAAAAAGGGGCATAATTCTGTCAAAATGCTTAATAGAGTTACCTCCTCCTGTCTACAGGTTGGGGTCATGATGGTGAACAAGTGTGCAAAGTTTCAAAGCCATATGTCAATGGACAATGGACTTTGAAAATATTTGAACTATTACAAAAACTTTAACGTAAATTCTAAGTCGAAAAGGGGGCATAATTCTGTCAAAATGCTTGATACAGTTACCTCCTCCTGTCTACAGGTTGGAGTCATGATGGTGAACAAGTGTGCAAAGTTTCAAAGCCATATGTCAATGGACTTTGAAAATATTTGAACTATTACAAAAACTTTAACGTAAATTCTAAGTCGAAAAAGGGGCATAATTCTGTCAAAATGCTTGATAGAGTTACCTCCTCCTGTCTACAGGTTGGGGTCATGATGGTGAACAAGTGTGCAAAGTTTCAAAGCCATATGTCAATGGACTTTGAAAATATTTAAACTATTACAAAAACTTTAACATAAGTGGTTACGCCGACGCGGACGCCGACGCTCGGGTGACTGCAATAGCTCTACTTATTCTTATCGAATAGTCGAGCTAAAAATCTGTCATTAACCGCACATAACATGTAAAATATTACTTGAATCTTGAATCATTTTACGTTTCCTAAAATAGTAGTACATATTTCTCAAGTTTGACTTTATTGAAATATTTTGAGTCATCTGGAGGCATGCAGCTTTAATGTTTAAGTGTGACCATCACCATGAATCAGCTTAGCCAACATTTCACCTTTAAGTGTGATCTTCATTATGAGCAAGAAGATATTACATTTAACCTTTTAAGTGTGATCATCACCATGAGCAAGAACTGCTTACATTTAAATGATGAGTAAGCATAGCTAACATTTAACCTTTAAATGTGGCCTTCACTATGAGGAAGCACAGACAGCTTACATTTAACCTTATAAGTGTGGCCTTCATCACAGGTAAGCATAGCTACATTTAAAATTTAAGTTTGACCTTTTTTAAAATGAGTTTGAGCCTTTAAGCAAAGAGTTTCTGCATGTGCCATATGCTTTTAAGGAAATATTACTAAAACTTTTTTTCATGTAGAGATTTTGGAAGATTTCTTTTTAAAAATTCAAACAATATTTGTTTGCAGTGGATAATTAAGGCTACATTGTATATACATTTTGTACCCACTGTACATGGGATGAACCTGGTTGTTTTTTTCAGTTCAAAAGCTTAGTAACAAGTACCACAAGAACTTAAATCATAAAGTAATTTAAAGTATATTACTACAAGAACTTAAGTCATAAAGTAATTTCTTTACAATTACCTATCATGTCTTGATCTTTTTAAAGCCAAGATGCCTATATACATGTACATGCTTACACTTAACATACATCATTTCGTTAACAAGCAGAAGTAAATTTGGTTTACCTCTTTCTGGTCAGAAACAAGTATCTCTAGGACAGTTAATTTCTTTTTCAATTCGGCTTTCTCGAGTGTTTCTTGAGTCATTTTGAATTCAAGTTCTGTTATTGTTTTCTTAAGTTCTGCCAGTTCTTTTTCATTTTCCAGTTTTCCCTTCTCTTCGTCAGACATCTTGGTTTCAAGGTCTAATAACTTCTTCTTCAGATCATCATATTCATCTTTAGTTGCAGCATTTTCTGTTGATTTCAGAACTTTTGCCATTTCTTCTTTGATTTGCCTCAGAATTTCTTCAAAGCTTTCAGTACTAATAATGAAGTCTTTCTTCTTCAGCTGATGAAAAATATCAGTTTTGTAACATTTTCTTTCATAAAAAAAAATGTATCTATATGATTTATAATATTTTCTTTTCTAAACAACATATTATTTATAAGGTCAGACTTTATTTTAAGCCTTCAATTAAATCAAGGGTTTGACGTGTTTGAAAGTTTGATGTTCTAGTGGGGGTCAAGATATATGGTCACAGTTGATTGGAAGATACAAACATTTTGCAGGTTTTATTCTCAAGTATGATAATCCTTCACACCCTTTTTCAATGTCCGGATATTGGAAGTAAATTTTTTATTGATATAATCCAAATTTTACCACAATATCAGAATTTAGGAGGCCTCAAATTAAGAGGTATGAATTATATAGAATTTCGGGACCCTGACAATTGTTCGGATTTCAAAGTTTTTGATCTCTTTTGTTTATAATTTAACATTTTATAGGTACATATATATTTTTATGTGACTTTATCAATTAACTTAAAGCAGCTGACCTCCAGAAAATAGCAGAAAAACTGACGTCTTGCTAATATTTCAAAATTCCCCCTCAAACATTATATTGTTGAAAGAAAAAGAAATGACACTTCAAAATGTTCATATTTTAACATCATTGCACTGAAAACAAACGTTTCGCTTTTCTACCCACGGGAAATACCTTCTTTTATTATACCACGGAATTCTTTCATCCACGGTTTTTTCTAGTAATTCACGTGATCATACAGGACAATATCGCGACCTGTGGTCCAAAACGCACGGAATCCGGGATTTTATCAAACATATAGGGATACCAATAATTGCTTTTGTTTTTATATTTGTAGTAATTCATGGCCCTAAAAATTATAATTGATTAATTATTTTATAAATATGATGACCAATTTATCGATTTAACCTTTAGCTTAAAATGTGATAGGGGCCTACTCAATGACGAAAATTGATAAACAATCCCGGGCATACCGGGTACCGGGATTTTTCCGGACCAAATGAATTATCTTCTCCTTTTTATATTGGCTATAGCGTTGGTTACGAAGTAGATTATGGAAAAGAAAAACCCCATATATTAACGCTTTTGTCAACATTCTTTCTTGAATTAAGGTGTCAGTGATGATGGATTTATACAATAAACCTAACTAGATCAGTATTTACTATTTACTTGAAACTTTATTTCATATTTTCATTTTACCATCTGGAGGTCAATGGCTTTAAGCTGGGACATCTTATCTTATGTCCCAGCTTTAAGGGGATTATTTTTTTTTTAATTTGACTATACTTTACCACTTCAAACTGTGTTACATAAACTTTGCCCTGAATTAAGTGGCATGTTATCTTAAATCATTATAAGTTAACTCAATAAAGATTTCAAACTGACATAAGGCCATCCTTAATAATATATATGTTTGCTATTGCCGACCCAGTGTTATAAGGAGTGGGTCGGTAGGCAGGCTTTTTTTTTATATATGATTTTTACGGAACGTAAGTTAATACGCTTAGTACGTTGTAGCAAATAGTGGAAATTTGGACTACACTATCATCATCGGCGAGGACAAAGCTGACATGTAAAAGACAGTCAAAAACAATAAAAAACATGCTCTTTAGTAATCATAATATGAAATAAAAAAAATGACTATGTGGACATAAATTCAAGCATGGTCAAATTACTGATGTGATAAACTAATCCTGCGTAAATATTCCCGTACGACCTGGAAAAATTATAGTGGATCACCGGGACATTTCGTTCTCTCGGGTGATCATTACTCAATTTATTACACGTCCGTAAAAAACTAGAACTATCACTTAATGTGATTAATACCCCCGCAAGACTGCTTCGGAAATGAGGATGTTAATTACTAGTAACAGAATATCTTGTAAAACAATTGAAATACAGTTATGGTTGTGGGCAATTAAAGATAGTTGTGGTTCTTGTATGTTGCATTTCCTTTCAATGTGGTTGGCCATTGATGAAGTTTTATTGAATTACTCTGCAATAAGTCCAGAAAGACAAGGAAAAGGAACAAAGAGCAATAACTCTATAAATACTGAAGATGGAGTGCTGGTTATTGTACACTGCACTTCCTCTCATTGCACTTGACCATTGTATGAAGTTGTATTGAATTCTAACTACAAGTTTTCAAGTTATGCACAGGACAAAAAAGTAACAAAGTCAAAGTGCAATAACTGTAATTTGTCCAAATAGACTTATGGTTCCTGTGCACTGCACTTCATCTCACTGCCTTTGACCATTGTATAAAGTTTCATTGAATTCCAACCATTAATTTTTCAAGTTATGCACTGGACAATAAAAAGTAACAAAGGGCAAAAACTTTTAAATGAGTCCAGAAAGAGTTATGATTTCTGTACACTGTGCTTCCTCTCAATATACTTGACCATTGTATGAAATAGTATTGAATTCCAACTAGTAGTTTTCAAGTTATGCTCTGGACAAGAAAAAAGCAATGGAAAAGTAACAAAGGGCAATAACTCTATAATTACTCTGGACAGAGTTATAGTTCTTGTGCACTGCACTTCCTCTTATTGTGCTTGATCATTGTATGAAGTTTTTTGGAATTCCAACCAGTACATTTTAAGTTATGCTCTGGACAAGGAAAAGTATCAAAGGGCAATAACTCTATAATTTGTAAAAATGGTGTTATGGTTATTGTGCACTGCACTTCCTCTTAATGTGCTTGACAATTGTATGAAGTTGTATTGAATTCCAACCAGTAGTTTTCAAGTAATGGTCCGGACAAGGAAAAGTAACAAAGGGCAATAACTATGTATTTAGTCAAGATGGAGTTATGGTTCTTGTGCACTGCACTTCCTCTAACTGTGCTTGACCATTATATGAAATTATATTGAATTCCAACCATTTGTCTTCAAGTTATGCTCCGGACAAAAAAAAATGGAAAAGTAACAGAGGGCAATAACTCTGTAATTAGTCAAGAAAAAGTTATGGTTCTTGTGCACTGCACTTCCCCTTATTGTGCTTGACAATTGTATGAAGTTGTTTTGAATTCCGATCAGTAGTTTTCAAGTTATGCTCCGACAAGGAAAAGTAACAAAGGGCAGTAACTCTGTAATTAGTCAAGATGGAGTAATGGTTCTTGTGCACTGCACTTCCTCTCAATGTACTTGACCATTGTATGAAGTTATATTGACTTCCAACCATTAGTTTTCAAGTTATGCTCCGGACAAGGAAAATGCAACAGACCGCTTGACCGACCAACCGACCGACCACCGGGTGACTCCTATATACATGTACCCCCCCCCCCCAAACTTTGTTTTTGGGGGTATAATAACACACGCAAGATTTGTCTCCAGGACCTATAATTTCTGAATATTCCGGATATTTGCACCCCTGTTTTAAAAATGTTAAAATAGTTAATTGTTAGTTACGGAAAATTTATAATCGCCGATTTTTGAAATTCCATAGCGCACAAACACTCGGGCAAAAAGTAGTATCCATAAATAAAAGGAATATAATGTTTCCATTGTCAAATAATAAATACAAAATTTGCACACGAAATGACCTCTGACAAATGACTGGTCGGCTCTTCTGAAGAATCTGTGAATCTTTGATGTTTACACACCTGTAGTTGTTGCCAAGCCGACACTCAATTGACTTCCACCTCTTTTTTATATATCAGAAAAAAAACCCTGTCATTTCTTTTTGTCAAGGAATGATTACACATGTTTAATTATTGCTCAAGTAAAAGAAATGTTTGCTATTTATTGTGACAATTATTGACATATTATTAATTGTAAGTGCATTTTGATTGTGATATTTTATTTACATTTTTATGATCTTGAAGATATTGTGCAATACTTGTGTCTGCTATCAAAACAATAATGCATATGACAGGACCACAGCTTCCAAAAATTTATTTTTTCGGTCAATTTTATGACAGAATCCTCGCTGCTACCAGAAATGTTTTATTGCATGGGCTAAGTATTTAATCTGTGTTGGCAGTCATAAACAAACGAACATGTACCCCAAAGCAAATTAAAACTAGAGGATGCTTTTGTAAAAAAGCGCATGTCTCCCCCACTGCTGAGAATAACTGTGAATGGAAACAGGAATGGAAATGGAGATAAGATAATGTAAATACCCGGTAGTCACTTCAATGAAGGCTGTCTATGGATGGTTTCTATTGTTAAGGTTGTATGAGAAGATGCTTCCTAAACTGTTTGTTTTTAACCAGGTATTCAATTTTGAAAATCCTGGTTATTCAATCAGCGTATGGCAGGCGGGCGTCAAACGAAATTGCACTTGATGGTCATATCATATATAGTTTCACAAATGAAATTAAATGAAATTGTGTTTGCTCCATAATTCTTCAAACCTTTAAAGGATTTTGATGATACTTGAAACAAACGTTCATATTGTCAGATTTTTTTACACTATTGAAAGACAACTCAAATTACAATGTATGTAAAATCATGATAACTGTAGTGTGTTGGGATGACTCCACTCGTTTTCACAATGAAGCCTCTCTGGTAGATACTTGAAACAAAAATTCACCACATCCAGAGAACGTGTAGAGTACATGTTTCGTATGGCTGGTTCCAAGGTCAAGGTCTACTTGACACTTGAATGTCATATCATATATAGTTTCACAAACGAAATTAAAGGAAATTGTGTCTGCTCCATAACTCTTCAACCCTTTGAAGGATTTTGATGATACTTGAAACAAACGTTCATATTGTCAGATTTTTTACACTATTGAAAGACAACTCAAATTTCAATGTATGTCAAATCATGATAACTGTAGTGTGTTGGGATGACTCCACTCGTTTTCACAATCAAGCCTCTCTGGTAGATATGGTCAAATAAGTGTGTTGTGTGCTGTAGTAGCCTTGTTTATTATTTGTTTAAAGCGATGTCGTAACATAGTGTGGGTCAATGGATGTTCTAAATATTGAATGAGGTCAATGTTGAAGTCTCCTAGAACTATGCAGTTTTCTGTTGGTGAATTTTCCAAGACAAGGGTAAGCTTTTGAAGGAACAAGTTAATCGGCAATGACGGAGGTTTTATATACAGAGTAGACAGACAGTTGTTTAGCTAAAAGTTTTACAGCAACACACTCGATTCCACATGCATCCGTGGGTATTCGTTCGTAAGCAAAGTCTTGATGAATGAAGAGGGCTACACCACCTTTAACAGTTGACTGATTAGTGTCCAATGTATTCAGATGATTATTATTATAATCTCGACACTGTAATTCTACATTATAGGTCTGGAGGGGATTTCTGAATGTAGAATTCTGGTTCATCCAGGTTTCTTGCAGGGCAATGATATCCATATGTTGAAGGAACAGATTGGAGGTAAATTCTTGAAGATGTGGTAGTAAGCCTTCGCAGTTGTGACTTGCAATATACATATGGTTGGTATGATCAAAACCTTGATCTGGTTCAAGAGAATTCCATCCTGGTAATGTGTTAGCCTCTGGCATATGAGACAATTTGTTTTGTATTGATGGGTCACAATATATTGCGTCAAGGTTGAAGTGGTCCTCTAAAAGGTGCAGACCAGAAGAAGATGTGACACGACTGAGAGCTACATAAGACATTCCAGGTTGAAAAGCTCCTTCCAGAGTGTGACCTTGACCTTTGACCTACTGACCCCAAAAACAATAGGGATCATCAGCTCTATAAGACCAATCATCCTATGAAGTTTGAGGGCTGTAGGTCAAAAGGAACTCTAGTTATCATCCGGAAACGAGAAATTGACCAACGGTCACTGTGACCTTGACCTTTGAACTACTGACCCCAAAAACAATAGGGATCATCTGCTCAATAAGACCATTCATCCTATGAAGTTTGAGAGCTGTAGGTCAAAAGGAACTCTAGTTATCGTCCGGAAACGAAGAATGGACGGACGGACTGACGGACGGACGGACTGACGGACGGACAGGGCAAAAACAATATGTCTCCCCCCAGTTTGAGGGTTGTAGGTCAAAAGGAACTCTAGTTATCATCCGGAAATGAGAAATTGACCAACGGTCACTGTGACCTTGACCTTTGACCTACTGACCCCAAAAACAATAGGGATCATCTGCTCTATAAGACCAATCATCCTATGAAGTTTGAGGGCTGTAGGTCAAAAGGAACTCTAGTTATCATCCGGAAACGAGAAATTGACCAACGGTCACTGTGACCTTGACCTTTGAACTACTGACCCCAAAAACAATAGGGATCATCTGCTCAATAAGACCAATCATCCTATGAAGTTTGAGGTCTGTAGGTCTAAAGGAACTCTAGTTATCATCCGGAAACGAGAAATTGACCAACGGTCAGTGTGACCTTGACCTTTGACCTACTGACCCCAAAAACAATAGGGATCATCAGCTCTATAAGACCAATCATCCTATGAAGTTTGAGGGCTGTAGGTCAAAAGGAACTCTAGTTATCATCCGGAAACGAGAAATTGACCAACGGTCACTGTGACCTTGACCTTTGAACTACTGACCCCAAAAACAATAGGGATCATCTGCTCAATAAGACCATTCATCCTATGAAGTTTGAGAGCTGTAGGTCAAAAGGAACTCTAGTTATCGTCCGGAAACGAAGAATGGACGGACGGACTGACGGACTGACGGACGGACAGGGCAAAAACAATATGTCTCCCCCCGAGGTGGGGGAGACATAATTACCACATGGTAAACTAGTGACCATATAAATGCTTTACAAATATTCATTAATTGAACGAACATTATTTCTAATCCCGTTAACACACCTTAATTTGATACGTTCTATTATTAGTTAATTCAACTTAATTGCCGCGCGCATGCAGTACTGCGTGACTTTAGGAAAATATCCTTCCCTGGTTGGTCGCTATTTATGTAAATACTTTAAATAGTAACACCCTAATTTTATGCACAGAATGCCCTCATGAATGATCACTCATTACTTTACATATTAAATGTGTGATTTTCCTCAATTTTATTTTTGTTTTCGAGGGAATTTTTTGGGTCGAATGCCCTGGCTGATTTGGCGGAAATAAAATAAATCTAATTTTTTTTTAAGTTGAAAAAAACTTTTGAGTCGGGGCATTTTCGCCGGGTCAGCCGGCAATAGCAAACAGATAATTTTTTAAGAGTGGTCTAATTCATTATTTACACTTACATCTTGAAGTTTTTTCACCGCTATCTGGGCATCTGATCGTTGTAATAGCTCCTTACCATCTTGTAGAACCACTATCATATCGTCAATATAAGAATTGGCCTCACTTTCTTCTAATTCCATACTACTTGAGTGGAAAATATTATTTCTATACTGACGTACCTATTGAATGGAAAGCACAGGTGCAATATTGTTCTATGCATATATATATACTGTTAAGCAATCAAAATTGTTTTGTTGAAACTTGTTTAGGTACTTACCTTCATAAAAAAGACGCAATCATAAATTATACCTGGCCTTTTTTCTTACATGTACATATTCATTGCAAATTTGGGGAAATTGTGTCTAAGACTTAATTTTTGATTCAATTTAGGAAAAAAAAATTGTAAAATTTATTATTTGGGAAAAAAAATATGCAAGCATATAAGATGTGAAACCTATTTTAACAAAGCTAAATAAATTTTACTGAAACTGATAAGGATTTAAAAGATATCCAAAACATCAAGAACGTCCACACCAAATACAAAAAGTTTGTACCTTTTTTCAAAACACCGACTTAGGGATAGAGATTTTTTTGGGATTGGGAAAAACAAGACAAAGTTTGCATTGGGAATAGGGCCTATATTTGGACCCATGGGATAGGGGAAAATAAGCCTGTACACAAATAGTTCTATATACAAATCTACAATTGTACATGTTTGCAGTAAATATTAACCGCAAGCCTTGTGAATTGTTAGGCCATCCTTAAAAAAATGTTTGTTTGCAGTAACCCGACCCAGAATTTTCAAGGTGGGTAGGTTGGTCGATTTTTTTTTTTTTTTTTTTTTTTTTTTTTTGAACTGTACTCCCAAATAAACATGGAATTTCAAAATGCTGGAAAATATAATAATTATGCTTTAATAATCTGGTTACAATTAATAAATTGATAACTGAATTCTAATTTAATAAGAACTACATTTTATTTCTTCTATTAACCTTTAAAAGAACGAAAACAAAGCACAGGGCATAATTTTCTGATTCAAAAAAAAAAATTTTTTTTATCCAGACCATGAAAAAACATTTGAGTAGGGGCAAATTTTGTGAGTCGGTCGCGTTACTGCAAACAAACATTTTTTTAAGGATGGCCTTACAACAAATTTTGAAACAAAAACAATCGGTGGATTTTTATACATTTGTTGTGAATTATTAAAGTGGTGAATTACTTTATTACTTTCATAGTTAAATTTTCATTTTCTCTTTTACTTTAATGCTGAATATACAGCATTAACATTACAACAGAACTGATAAAATATAAGTAAAAGATATTTTATTAATGATTTACCTTTGAAAAAAGGTTGTTTGTTCCTGTGACATTGCATCCAATGTGGCTATGAAAATACTGGTTATTTATCATTAGAATTAATAACCCAGTGCAATCAGTTTCACAGGCAGATTGTTTCTGCTCGTACCCTGGAGCATTTATAAAACACTTACAAATGCTCCAAGGGTCTGTCATCCACTGTTGAGCATCGGTGTTTTTCCAGTTAGGTGCAGGTGGTGAGGATGAATGATGCTGCACAATAAAATCATAGATGGCGCCACATATGTTGTTCGGACAAGCAATTTTGCCCTTAAAGCAACAGCTGCATTTTACTTGCCCAAGAGGACAAACTTTGTTTCCAGCATTCCCAGGTATTGGCATATGGTCTGGCTTTAGAGTTTCAACTCCACAGCTGCCACACGTCACAGTTGATGGTAGTGATTTTGTAGACCTAATGTTTTGTAAGATATCCTTATGTTGTTGATCTGCTATGTCATTACAGAATGGTACCAGTCCCTCCTTTAAATATCCAAGTCCTAAACCAGCCTTTACCCACTGTCTGTATTTGTCCTTCTCTAACTGAAGTTGATGTGCCATCCTGATACTCTATCAATATCTAAATAAACAAACAAAAGATTATGTTAAATTTTATACAAATAAGAAATTATGGTCTTGAATTGCAATTCAAAGTCCAAAATACTGGGTAAATGTGATCTGAGTTCCTAAAAAAAAGTCAATTACAGGGACAAAAAACTAGTAGTGTCATCGATCAGGACTTTTGTATTGATATATCATTAAAGAATTATTGGCGATACAGCGATATATATCAATTGCCAGGCAATATTTAGCTTTCAAGATTTTTTGTTGTTCCCCAAGGACACTGATGACTCTATGCAGTTATAATTAAACGTATGCATATTGTAAAGAAACCATTTGATAAAACAAAAAAAGATAAATAAACTATGAAAAATGAACAATTTGTTTATTTTTTTTTATCATTACAACTAATGACTAGTAACTATAAAGTTTAAAGCCTTTTCCATTCTAATTTTATTGTTGTTTTTGCAATTTATTACCAAGTTACAGATTAGGTTAAATCCTGTCCTTGCCATTCAAAATATACCAGGGTTTAATAAGCAAATTACAGTCAAACGTGTATTAAGCGACTGCTCAAGGAAAACACCCAATGCAGTCTAGTCAATTCAATGCAGTCTAAATGTCAACAAGCGAAGCGTATACACCATCTCAGTAGAGCAGAGCCTTGCATTGTTTATTCGATATTATTGGATAATACATGTCACGCGTATACTTAGGTGTACGGACATAATCCCCTTCGGACAAAATCCCCTTCATGTATTTTTGTATATCTGGACATAATCCCCTCCATGGGTGGACATAATCCCCTTCATGTGTGAAATTTTGAAGTGGACAAAATCCCCTTCATAAAATTGCTACCTAGGATAAAATCCCCCTCAGATGAATTTTTGGTTTATAAAGTGGGTATGAGAGCGACATACTGCATTATGCTGTGTGGTAAATATCTTAATGTATAAATAAAAAGAAAGATTTCAGCAGGAAAGCACATTCAATAAGCACATTTTAATCACATTAAAATTGCTTTGTTAAAGCATTCATAACAATCAAGTTGTGCAGTGATCTTGGTTTGATTAAATTATCACTCTTTCATCAATAGAAATTTTAACAATGGATAATATGTATCAATTAGAAGTATCAACTTATACAATCAATGAAACAATTATGGCTAATAAATTTTTTTTCATACTTATCAATTTAAAACAATTAAAGAAATTGCGTAATCAAATATGTGTTATGCAGTTGATAATTTAAACTTCTAAACTAAATAAAGGTAAACTATTGATACATAATTATAAATAAAAAAAACAAAAGTTCATTATTCAACAATTTTTAGGGAATATTATAATATATTATTCATTAATTTTTATGGAGCACAATAATACATAAGAAACCTATGAAACAAGGGGATTTTGTCCGGGTAGTGAAGGGGATTTTGTCCAGCCTTGCAAAAACACGAAGGGGATTATGTCCACCCATGAAGGGGATTTTGTCCGGGTTTGCGAAGGGGATTTTGTCCGAAGGGGATTATGTCTGACATTCGTATACTTAACTTCATTTGCATACACTAAAACGGTTTGGGAAATAGAGTTTTTCACACATTTATTTGTTGTGTTTTGATTGTTGACACTTGTGACATTACGAGGCGGCGTTCTCTAAAAACACAATTACTTGACAGGTAAAAGTGGTCGTTTAATGAAAAGATTTATCTCAATTAGCTGACTAATTAGCGGTCGCTGGTCGCGTTGAGCAAAAGTCACTTGATACATTAAAGATATAGAGTGAAAATGATCGGGGGAATTTAAAGTGGCCGTTTAAGACAAAAGTCGCTTAAAACACATGGTAACATGGGCAAGTTAGACTGTATAGTGTTTAGAACCTGAATAATTATTAAAGGATAAAATTTTATAATAATACAAAGAGACACTGACACAAATTTTCTTGGCAGTTTCCCTTTTTAAAATCTGAATTGAGGGGTCTTTAACATCCCCTTAGCATAAGTGCGAGATTACAACGCCAGCATTTGTTAGGGACACGGTAAGGTAATTTGGTGTGATTTTCATTTTTGTTTTGGAAAAAAAATGTTTGAAAACTGTTGGCATCACAGGTGCTAGTCACATTATCAAATATTTTACATAATAGGCCTGTATAATATATATGTATATTAAAGGGACTCCACTGAGGTTTTTTGACATGACGGGACTGGAAATATTTTTTTGAGATTATTACTCAATTTGATGTAGATCTATACTAATAACTTATGTGCAAAATTTCAGATCATTAGCTTGCTCCGTTTTTCCAGAATAATTATTATAATAGTGAAAAATTACCCAAAATTGAAAAGCGTTTAAACGCTTTTCACTCAAGTTGGACTGAGAATAGCACAAATAGACATTTTTATACCCTAAAAATGCCCAATTTTACGGGAAACGGACAAAAGCCCTCCCGTCAAAAATGACAAGGCAGACAAAAGCCCTCCCGTGAAAATGACTGGGCGGACAAAAGCCCTCCCATGAAAATGACTGGGCGGACAAAAGCCCTCCGGTGAAATTAACAAGGCGGACAAAAGCCCTCCCGTAACACAAATAAATATGTATGTTGAATACCTGTTTTTTTTCAATGCACTTAACATATTAAAATTGTTACATATATTTCTTGTTGTTTTCAATTGGCCTAAGTATGTGTATGAGCTAGAACCACCTTTTGTTCTGAATTTACCCTCCTGAAATGTTTAACGAGGTAACACGAATGTCGTTAAAAACAGTCATTTTTAAAACTAATTGACTCATTACAAGGCACATTATAAATGTCTTTAACTTTTTAGGTAGATAATTTTAACTTCTTTTCATCATTTATTACTCTATCAATATTAACTTCACATAGGAGTAATCTACGTGAATAAATATGCACTTACAGATTTTAGAACTAATTATTCAGATGCCTCTCAAGAATGTGCTCAAGCTCAAACAAACACAGTTATGCAAATGGAAAACAAAAATATTCATGATTACAATTTTAATATGTTAAAAGCATTGAAAAGAAAATATAAACTATGCAACGTACATACATATATTTGCTGCGGGAGGGCTTTTGTCCGCCCTATTATTATTATCACGGGAGGGCTTTTGTATGCCAAGTCATTTTTAAGGGAGGGCTTTTGACCGCCCTGTCATTTTCATGGGAGGGCTTTTGTCCGCCTTGTCATTTTCACGGGAGGGCTTTTGTCCGCCTTGTCACTTTTTGACGGGAGGGCTTTTGTCCGGGAGGGCTTTTGTCCTACACTTCAATTTTACATGTAATGTGTTAGCATCTGATTTTTTGGTGTTTTTAGAATTAACACAACTATTATCTGTTCTAATTTATCTGTTAAATTTTTTTACATGCACATTCACAAAATTTAATAACCTTGCCCATGATATATAATACTTGGTATAATATATCATCCTAGTTTTTATGGTTAAGATGATTTTAGTAAAAGCAGACTTTTGTAATGCATCAGTTTTTTCAAAATTCAGATGTTAATTAAACAAGAATACCTTTAAGCAGTTACAAATAAAATAGTACTTTATTGCCGTCCGTCCCCCTCTCATAAAATATCTAATTTTAAAACAATACTCCAAAAAAACAATGTTTCTGGTGCTTTTTGATAGTCTTACTATGAAAATGTTACAAAAATTGCCAATTTCTATGTTAATGAGAAAAAAATACAATAATGTTAAAAAGTTGTCTGTAACATCCGTCCCCCTATATATAAGGTGCTTATTAAATCTCACATAAACTGTAATTTACACTAAAACACCAAAGTTACATTGAAAAATGAAGAAATAACAGAAATAAAGGACTGAAATGATGTATTCCGTATATATAAAAATTAATTATTTGTGAACACCAAATTCCTTTATTTTGAAAATAAAATCAGTATTTTTTGCTATAAAAATACAAAAAATTACTTTGAAATAAAGTTTATATGGTTTTTTTTAAACATCAAATGGGCCTATAAGTTTATTATGATAATATTTAATCTTATATGAATTTATGACAAATATAATCTTTTGTTATTCTGTTTTTTCAAACTAAGGGTACAGAAGGGGACGGATGTTACAGAAATGAACTAATGATTCTTTTTACAGTAATACTAAACTTATCTTGTTCTTATGATGCATGATAGAGAAGTAGTAAGTTTTGCAACTGCATAGGAATGCTTCACACAACAATAAAAATACTATTAAAAAAAATAACTAGAAGAAACAATCACAAAATCCAAAACAGGCTATTATAGAAGAGGTAAAAATGATGAAAGTATCTTTTTGATTAAAATTAGTCAAGTGTTAAAACATAAATTCTTGAGCCTTAAATAGTTAACAAATCATGTGTTCCAGCCCCTTATAAAACAGTGGGATATGGATCCTAACTATACACACAGAAGGGCTGGCACTTTATTGGAAGTTAATGAGCTGTATTATAATTGGGAGCTGAGTATTGTAGATTGGGAAGTGTGATAATTACAAAACAGTAGGGGTGCCAATATAGGGTGATGTACATATGCTTAAAAACAGTGGGAGGGACTACCATATCTGTTTCAGAAGGCCTATCTTTAAGTAAGCTGTTGATCAATTAAGTCAAAGGATTTATTGAACTTCAAAATTTTACAGGCTAAAGATGTAGTCAATTAAAAAATAAACAAATAAAGAAATATAATTTAACACCCTGATTAAACTTCTTTTCTCTTCAAAATTCCAGCATATTTACTAACCTTTACATTTAGTTATTATTAATAAAGTGGAAGAAAACCTTAAGTAGAAACGTACCGTTGGTATTACATTCTTTCTTTAACACAGTGTTAATGCATTATCTGGAAACAAGGATTATTTTATTTCATTAGCAATGTTCTTATTTCATTTCAAACATTTTAATGTTCATTCAAATGTAAGATAACTGGAAGAAAACTAAGTCAATGCAACTTTTCATTGTGAAATGCAAAAAGTAAGAAACTCTATAGCTGTCGGGTATATTTCTACATTTTTCTCCTAATTTGTTCAATTATTTTACATTTATTGTACTAAACAAAGCATATACTCTTAGAAATTTTATTACTTGAAAATAAAACCAAAAAATGTATGAACTATGAGCTTTAAACATCTAGTGTAACATCCGTCCCCCCAAAAATTTAACATCCATCCCCCTGATACAATTCATTTCTGGACTTTCTGACAAGAAATAGACATAAGAAAGTCCTATAATTTTTACTGTTTATAAGAAATGTGTTTGCCTATCCTTGTTTCTTTTTCTTTGTTTCAAACATGTTTGAAAATTTAATTATTTCCCGTGAAGCCTTCCTTCGGCTTTCACATGTATACACAGCATGTTTTCCTAACATGTATGAAATGTGCTATATTTAAACAAGAGGGCCATGATGGCCCTATATCGCTCACCTTAAGGAATAGATCTTATAAAGTATTTTTCTTTTTAAAAACAAGCAACAGGTTTATAAAATTCTTTAATGTCATTTAAAGGTTAGTGTCAAATGTAATGTTTTTTTGGCCGACAGCAACAGGAATGCTAACAAGTGTATAGAAATACCTCTTTTTTTTTTCTTTTCTTTAAAGTACAGGTTGCTAAAAAATACACTCCCTGTAGCGTATTTACATCATGAAAATTTTAACAATGACATCATAATTAACAAGACAAAGTACAAATTTGGATAATACTTCAATAAAAATGGGTCAAAGACAAAAATGGCTGGGTTGCATTTGTATACCAAATAACATGACTCATGAGGCTGTGAATTTGTTACAAAAAATTTCCTACAATTGACCATTAATATCGATCATTTAACTAAGTTGGTAAACAGGAAGTGGATAAGCGATAGACCTGAACTTTGCAGTCACAATACCCTTAACAATTCAAAATTGTACTTTTTTCACAAAGCGGCAGAAAAAAAATCCAATTTCAAGAGAGATTTCACAAAATAGTGGGGCTTTGTCTTCGAAATACAATGTTTACCTTTCGGTAAAACTTAATTTACACCAATTGAAATAACACAGAAATACAACATGTAGTTAATTTTAATCAAGTTTTTTGCGCAAAAATGTTAACCCGTTTAATTTACCGACATGAAGCAGATTTTACACAGGTCAGAAATTATAATCAACCGTTTCAGGTTTCAAAATGTCGCGAAATGCCAGGTACAGTACTGGACACGCGAAACCCGCAAAAGTCGCATAATACCGCGAGTGTAGTCGATGACGCGACGGGACATTACGCGGTAAAACATTGCCGTGTGCAAGTTGCCAAATTTCATGGCAGTTCACGAAAAATCGCCGCGATATATCGCCATCATTTACTATTAGAAAGTACTACTTGGTCCCGCCCGGGGGTCTTTTATGTTTTCTATATACATGTACATATAGTAAAAATCTTGTAAATGTCATGTATATTTATTAATGTTTAGCAATTGAACATGTACAGTGTACAGCGTATACATTTTGTATTCGAAAACAAAGCAATCAAGTGCTGGATGACAACAAAACTAGATCAAAATTACAAAATGTAATTGGAACTACATCAAAAAACGCACGATAACAAATTGTCCAATTGTTACTTTGATAATAATACAAATGTAATTAAAATCTGTTGTTTACTTTCGCACATATTCTATTTTTAGAACAATACAGTGCGACATTTATTACCGATTTACAGGTTCACAGGTGTAACTAATTATTACGTCTAATACGCTAATTATAATTGTTGAAAATCGTAAATGTTTTATCACTTAATTTAAGACTTACTTTCAAACTATAAAGTTGTAAATATGTTATGTTAACTTTAAAGTAAATTATGATTTTATTTCTTTGCTGAATAATATTTGCAATAATTATTTGTTTGACACTGTATTTATTCAAACTTGGATGAATATATAAAAGTAATGGTACTGATACTTAATTACTTCACCAAAAAATGTACTGGTACTGCAGTACCGAGCTAAAATCTAGTACTGGTAATGGTACTGCATAATTTGCCAAGTACTGGTACTGGTACTTAAGTACTACACCCTTAGTACTGATGCAGCTCTGAGTACAACATACATTTATTACACAAAGTACCATGTATTATTCCCGGCGAAATCATGGCAAATGTTCAAGGCAAAATCGCGGCGAGTTAAATTCGTGGGAATTGTCTCAAGTTGTCGTGAATTTGCTTGCGTTATAAAGCATGAGGGTTTGCCGCGAATATGCAAATTGTGCGGGTTTCGCGTGTCCAGTACTGTAATATGTTTTTTGTTTGTATTTTTTTCACAAATTTATGTTATCTCGTGCTTTTTATCACAAAATAAACGGGCCCAGGCCCCTTTACAATTTTGACAAAAAAATGCCCTGGTGGCCTAATATTTGAATCAAGTTGTTATTACATAATGTGTTTATTAAGAGGGGTATATTTCCCATTATCTTTCAATTATTGATAAAAAATTGTCAAGCTCCTGTGAATAAACATAATTTGTTATTTCTACTTTCGTTTTCGATACACACACATTTTGATAATCACACCCCCATACAATAGGACTAGCTGTTACAATTATCTATCAATATGAGGAATTCATTTAAGGAAGAGCATAATAAAAGTCTAATGTTTGTTGCTTTTTAATTTAAGATTATTAGCCTCACGCGGAAATCCCCAAATTTCAACTTTCGTTTTCATTTGATAAAACATTGGTAATTTACCTATCAAAGTTAATTATTTTTGACTTCTTATGTTAACATTTCATTTCAGTACAAAATAATCTACTTATTAGTTACAAGCTTTTCAAGGATCTTACCGCAATTTCTTCAAATTTTGAGAAAATATTATCCTGGACTTTTTTCCGCCATACTCATATGATACTGGTTTTCTCCAATTTTACAGCGCATGCGTACTGTAAACGAACACTACTAAATTATAGAAAGATTTCACAACACTAAATATTTTCCGACACTTTCTTTAGAAAAAAGGGTTAAAGTGACTCTTTGCGAATAATTATTTGAGGCAATATTATGCCGTTTCTTTATTATGAGAAAATAATAGCAGGTATATATCATTTTTATCATCTAATTTATATTTGTCCCAAACTTCAGTCAAATTAATTCAATTAAATATAGACACGCACAGAAAATTTTCTGAAATAATCAATAATATCAAGATGACCAGTATTTAATACAAGAATGAATGATACTGAGACAAACATCAAATTATGTTTAATACATAAAAGCCGCCGTTCAATAACAATTCAGAACAAACTGGACATATATAATATCAATTCATCTTCAAATTCAAATAAACATGTATGAAACATATTAATCAAAGCAACTCTATTTCAAATACGTGCAAGCACGGATTTATATTATATAAATATAAATCCGTGGTGCAAGCTAAAACATATGCATAAAAAACTTAATAAGCTAAATATTTCAAAAATTAAGGGTGGGCGGGAGCGGTTGAAAAAATTTCAAATTTTCACTGATCAAAGACGTGTCTATCAAAACTGTAAAGAAAAAACCGCGAGAAGACTGTATAAAGCTGTACGCGTAGTGATATACAAATCAGTGAAGCAGAAAAATATTAACCAATGAAAAATTATGTAACATTCGATAATTAGAAGATTTTGTAAGTATCACATACACACATTGCTCATATATATACATTTACATTCAAATTTACATCCAAATATAACAAATATACACATTGCACATATATACATAAACATTAAAGTTAATATACAAATAAACCACATCTACACATTGCACAAGAAAAACTAAATAAAGAAAGCATCAGAAACTGTCACCACAAAGTCAGTTCTCATAAGTAGCGTCACATACCACTACTATATGTCACTAATCTTCAAAGGAATAAGATACTTCCTTTAAGAAGAAAGACAAACAGTCTGATGTTTCTAGTCTTTATTAAACAGTGCAATGATTTATCATGATGTGAAAAGACTATCATCAACATAATAAAATTTCTTATCAATAAAAACAAACCTAACGTTTAAGAAGATGAGCCACTGTATTAATAAAAAATAAACGAAGGCGACGAGTACCTTCAATGTTAAGAAAATTTCAAATTTTCACTGAACAAAGACGTGTCTATCAAAACTGTAAAGAAAAAACCGCGAGAAGACTGTATAAAGCTGTACGCGTAGTGATATACAAATCAGTGAAGCAGAAAAATATTAACCAATGAAAACTTATGTAACATTCGATAATTAGAAGATTTTGTAAGTAAACAAAATGCTATATTTAATTGAATTAATTTGACTGAAGTTTGGGACAAATATAAATAGTTTTCCCAAATCTACTTTCATCTTTAATGTTATGTTGTATGGATGATGACAAGATTTTAGCTATTTCATTTTACTTAATTTGTAAATATGTTAACAAATGCATGTTAGGGTTATACAATATATGCCGGTCCCAGTTGTACCCGAAAGCAGATCTCACAAACAAAGCACCGTCTAAAGCATTAAATTACTTCAGTCTTTGTTAACATATCACACCAACCGGGCACCGTGTAAAGCAGCATATTTAGTCTTTGTTAACATATCTCACCCATCTAGCACCGTCTAAAACAGCATATTTAGTCTTTGTTAACATATCTCACCCACCTAGCACCGTCTTAAGCAGCATATTTAGTCTTTGTTAACATATCTCACCCACCTAGCACCGTCTTAAGCAACATATTCAGTCTTTGTTAACATATCTCACCCACTTAGCGCCGTCTTAAGCTGCATATTTAGTCTTTGTTAACATATCACACCGACCGGGCACCGTGTAAAGCAGCATATTTAGTCTTTGTTAACATATCTCACCTTCCTAGCACCGTCTTAAGCAGCATATTTAGTCTTTGTTAACATATCTCACCCACCTAACACCGTCTAAAGCAGCATATTTAGTCTTTGTTAACATATCTCACCCACTTAGCACCGTCTTAAGCAACATATTCAGTCTTTGTTAACATATCTCACCCACTTAGCGCCGTCTTAAGCTGCATATTCAGTCTTTGTTAACATATCACACCGACCGGGCACCGTGTAAAGCAGCATATTTAGTCTTTGTTAACATATCTCACCCACCTAGCACCGTCTAAAACAGCATATTTAGTCTTTGTTAACATATCTCACCTTCCTAGCACCGTCTTAAGCAACATATTCAGTCTTTGTTAACATATCTCACCCACCTAGCACCGTCTAAAACAGCATATTTAGTCTTTGTTAACATATCTCACCTTCCTAGCACCGTCTTAAGCAACATATTCAGACTTTGTTAACTTATCTCACCCACCTAGCATCGTCTAAAGCAGGATATTATGCTTTTCTCGAAATATCTTACCAACTAAGCACCAACTTGCGCTGTAGTAAGTGTTCTTTAACATCTCCCGTCGACCTAGCACAGCCTTAACAAGTATTAAATTTTGTTAACATCTTTTGTTCCCCGAGCATCGCTTACGCATTATATGCATTCATCAATGTTGTTCAGACTAACAAAGTTTACTGGTAGATTTCAAATTATTTTGAGCGTGAAATGCCGATCAATAGACAAAACATGATCTAGAACACCTGGTTTGTAGACAAACAAATTAAGACATTCGCTTGTTTAACAGATCCTTATTTTATTTTAAGAAAGATATAGGACTTATAATGGCTACTGTTACTTAGTTTGCCAAAAGATAAACTAACCAAGATAAAGCCATGTTATTCGATGCTTTAGCACGAAATATTAATACAAATCTAAACAAAATAGATCTATATAACACCAATTCATCAAGTCAATGGCAATTAGAAGATATTAGATAAATGGTTAGAATTATTAAACATCAAAATTTAAGTACATATGGTAAGACTTCAAAAAATTCTTGCATTCTTTTAATATGTTAAAATTGCTATACTCAAAAAAACAACTTTACATTACCTATCAATTTCAAAAAAATACCCCTGTTGTTGTTGTTGTTAAAGTGTAAGCCTCCGCACAGATTCCGACTTCTTCTTGAATGTCTAATTTTCTATGTTAAAAAGGACAATACCAAGCTTCAAAGGAATCGCTCGGCTCCGATTGGAATGATTAAATAATGTTTTTTTACGTAAACGTTTTTTGCCAACTCTATGTCATATTATTTATTGTCACAGTTTTATTTCATTATTTTGTTCCTTTTCGTTCCATTGTTAAGGCAAAGTTCGTGGCCTTTTCAATATATAGTGGGAAATAAATAAATAACAGACCATATTTCATATTTTGTCCTATCTATATATTGCTGTCTGATCAAAGGGAAATTACCCTTGTAAAGAAGATATACTTGACTTTATGACTAGTCTCCCTTTAACATGATGATTTTCCTCAAACTCCTTCCGAAATAAATGTGTGAATAATGATTAAAGGGAAATAATTCCTTATAAGTAGGGACCGCCTCCGTGGTCGAGGGGTTAGAGTCGATGACATCTAATCCAGTTACTTCTCTGGTGTTGGTTCGACACCCGGGAGGTGCTTTGGTGTTTAGCACGGAGGAAAACTGGTGTAACTCTCCAGAACGATGATTAGGAAACTACCAGCTTATATGACTGAAATACTGTTGGGAAAAGGCGTAAAAATGAAACAAACAAACAAAAAACTTTTAAGTAGATTGATATTAAAGCTGCACGCCTCCAGATGAAAAAAATATTTCGATAAAATCAAACCTGGGAAAATATACTAAGATTTTAGGAAAGGTAAAAGAATTCAAAATTCTAGTAAAAATTTACATGTTAATTATGTGCGATTAATGACTGAATTTTCAAGTATGTATAACTATATTTCTTCTGCGTTACCAACGCAGCAATGGCTCTTTTTGCATATTTTGACCTCTTTTTAGTAATTTACATAGGTTGTAAGTGCCATTGATAATATAGGGTTAACGCACGTTTTTCCGTGTTATAACGTCTGCAGAGTCCCGAGGAACGGTTGGTGCCCGAGCCCTGTAGGGCGAGGGCTCCAACAGTTCCGAGGGACTCTGCAGACTTTATAACACGAAATAAACGTGCGTTGACGCTATTATAGCATAAAATCTTAATATGAAAAAGGCAAAGCCTCAAAGCGAGCTCGATGCACTTTTAACGTGAAATAGTATGAAATAATCGCTCATTTTTATTTCAGTGCGTGTGACGTCACACGTGAGTTGTATTAAATATGGCTCCGCCCCTGTCGTTAAATGAATAACGAGTTTTGAAAACGTTGATAAAACTTTGTTTGTTTATTTTATTTCACTCTATAATTTTTTCAAGCGAAAAAAAAAGATTATTAAAAGTGTAATAAATGTAAAACTTAAAACGTTTGCGACATTCAAATAGCGTACTTGATTTGATTGTTTTGCACGTGCTGTTTGGCGCTACATTGTGACGTCACGTAAACATACTTTAAACGTCTGTACAGCGTTAACAGACTGAATAAAAGATATTGGTGTTCGGATTCATTTTCTTAGTAAGGCCATTTTCTTTCATTCTAGATAGTTTTCACAACAAAGTTCGACAAAAAAATGTTTTTATTTTTTCAGATTTTTCAAACAAAAATGGCGCCTCAATTTTCATTTTCCGTTTTAAAACTGTCATTCGATATTTTATACACAGCTTCCGTTATTCTGGTTCCCTATCCAATTATGGTTCCCAATAGATTGTGCGGGGTGACCAATCTACACATCCGTTTTCAGTCAGAATTCCTCAGTTTTTATCGTTATCTTTAAATTCGAAAAGTTGCGATGTGTCCAATTCGGTACTTCGGACGAAAGTTTTCAAAAAACCATCACTTAGCAGGTACTCGCGTTACCGTAAAGCTCGCTTTGCGATCAGGCCCTTCGGGCCAGCTCGTCGAGCTCGCTATTAACAGATCTATGA